TATCTCTGAAGCAGACGACTTCTCAAAAATTGTAGACCAGTGTTATGTTTTTCCAGATTCTTCAATAATTCTGTATTCTTTTCAGAGATCATACATTTTAAATATTACTTGTATGCAGTGGTCAATTGTGTCATTTTGGTCTTTTGTTTTTCCCTGATGCAGTTCAGTTTTTTGAATGGAAAGAATGCAAAGATGATAGAAACAAACAACCTCCCCCTTATTTTGGGCCTGACAGTACCTAGGTAGGTGCACTTAGTGGACAGAAGGGACAGCCCTGTTTGGTTACAGATCCATATGTGACTGTGGGTAAGTCCCTCAGGGCCAGATTTCCAAAGACATTTACGTACCTAAAGATGCATGTAGGCATCTAGGGCTAGATCCACAAAGGGACTTCGGTGCCTAACTCCCATTCTAGGGGCTTAAATAAAAAATGCGAGTGCCCTTGAGATTCTTACCCTCTACTCAGCTGCTGCCCAAAGTCCATAGCTACCTACGTTTTTGCTAATAAAATTTCCTATATGCCTAAGTTTCTGCCGGTGGCATTTTCAAAAGCACCTAAATAGATTTGGTGCCATTCACTTCAATGGGAGCTAGACGCCTAACATGCTCAGGCACATCTGAAAATCCCATTCTGTGTCTATCTGCACCTTAGGCACCTAAATACCTTTATATATCTGGTCCTTAGTCTCTCAGGGATAGATTGACAAAGGGACTTTTAGTTACACTGCCTCCCAGTAGAATCCTTAGTCTTGAGTCAGGTGCCCAGGCTCCCTATACAATGCCTGGAGAGAGATACAGCTGAGCGAGGAGCCTTGCTAAGCCAGTAAGCAGAAAAAGCCAAGGCAGTTAAATGCCTAGCTCTGGGCCTGAGGGGGGCGCCTAGCTTCATTTGGGATTCTCAGCTGTGAACCCTCTCTTGCAGCTACGTGTCTTAGCTAGGCCAGCCCCTTCTCAGGAAAAAGGAGCAAGAGAAACTAACCATAGCTGCCCACTGGCTGTGGCACTCAGCCCTCATGCAGGAGACCAGTTTTCAAACTGCCCTTATGCCTGATTCAGAGCAGGTTTGTGATCTTGATTTTCCCACATGCCAGGTGAGGTTATTCTGGGATGAGTGTGTTACTGCCTCTCCTGTTGGACATGTCCACTTCATATAAATAATGAAATATTCATTGGAACAGGGACTTGTCCTAGGTCAGTGCCTTAGTCACTGAGCTACTGTCAAGCTCTTCTCTGCTCCAAAGAATCGTTAATTATTTAATACAAAGTGGAACAGCTTTAACAGGAGACACTAAGCAAGCCCCATCCAAGAGCAGGCAATAGCTGAATGATTACGACACGCCCCTTGCATGTGTGGGGCCTGGGTACAAGTCCCTGATCCAATTCAGGCAGCGCAAGGATTTGAAAACAAGTCTTCTCTATCCCAACCGAGTGCTCCCAACTCTGGGCATTGGGTACATGCCCACAGAGTTACAAATGTCCTTTGTGCAGCTTAGACATGCTCAGAGTCTGCCTACCAGATTGCGGAACACCTCATTTGTGAATCCACCAGGGTTTAAGTGTAAGAGAGGGCTCTGAGCAGCTTGGTGATTTCAGTGGTTTTGTGCATGCCTTCTGGCAGAAACTCAAGTGCCTACAGTGTTAGGAAGTAGCTGAGTGGGGGTTGATGATCTCTCTGGTACCTAAAAGTTGGACGTTGCCATCTGCAGTGGGAGTTACACACTTAATTCCCTTTGTGGATCTAGCTCTCTGTGCCCTTGTTTCCCATCTATGAACTGGAGTTTACAGTGCTTCCTTACCTCAGGGGAATGTTGGGAGGATAAATATAGTAAAGACTATTAGGAGCTCAGATACTAACATGACAGGAGCCATATAAATTTGCCAGATTAGACATGTTGGCAATTTTTCGTCTGCGAGAGACGGTGGGAATTGCAGCCTATGATGTAGATGACTTGCAATGTCTCATGTGATTGAATAATCCAATCTGAGATGTGCAAAATCTTTGGCAGTTATTGCAAATGTCTGTATCTTGGTTGGGAACTGCTTCCTTCCTACAGGCTCTTTTCTCTTCAAGCTGTAAGAACCAGCTTCTGTCATGGACTTTGATACCCTGATGGAGACGATGGCGCCACTTGTTACCGTCACTTGCCAAGACTTCCCGTTGGTCAGGATCAATTCCAAATTCCTTCATATCTTGCTTGCATGTGTCTTTATAGTGAAGCTTGGGACGTCCTGTTGTTCTTGTTCCCTCCAACAGCTCCCCGTATAGCATGTCCTTGGGTATGCGTCCATTTTCCAACCTACTCAGATGGCCCAACCAGCGCAGTCGTCTTTGCTTGAGCAGCGCTGTTACACTTGGTAACTTTGCCCTTTGAAGAACCTCTGCATTGGAGACTTTAATTGCCATTTGGTGTTGAGTATGTGGTGTAAACAGTGTAGGTGGAAACTGTTTAACCTTTTCTCCTGATGAGCATAAGTTGTCCATGTTTCCCCACCATACATGAGAGTGCTGTGGATGCAGGCTTGGTACACTAGCATTTTGGTCTTGATGGTAAGCTTTGAGTTGTTTCATGCTCTTTTCGTTAGTCTGCTAAAGGTGGTGGCTGCCTTTCCAATGCGAACATTTAGTTCTTCATCCAGTGAGAGGTTGGTGGTCACTGTAGAAGCTAAGTAGCTGAACTTTTGGACTACTTCTAGCTGATTTGAATTTAAGGTAATTGAAGGAT